TGTTATTTTTCATGGCCAATATTTCAGCCATCTTTAGTCTGCTGGCAGCATTCTTATCTCTCATGGCTAGTATTTGTGTCACATCAAGACCTACCAGCCATGTCGCCCGATCATCTCTTGGGTGGCATTTGTTTCACAATAAACTTGTTATGTGATGGTGAATCCTTTCCCATGGTCAACATTTACGTCATCCTTGACTTGTAAATGGTGTGTTCTTCTGTGGTTAGTATTTCTTGCTAACGATATCCTTACACTTGATAGGTACTCGTGCTACTTTGACAACATGCATAAACACTAGGGGCTCATCGCCAAATGAGCATGGCTACTCATAGAACAGATGGATCAAGCTCATCACCATAATTATTAGCTATTTCAACACAATTCTGATGAAGTAGGTGACTTATCTGGCAACTTCGTTAGGCAAATTCAGTGGAACCCAGCCAAGGATTTCTACACATTTTCAACATGCTTCGCTAGCTTGTCAATCTGCTCATCCCAATCGCCAACCATGTCAAACTTGCCTTTGTCAAGGTACGTCTTCGCCAGCCTAAATTCCTCCAACTCTGGAACTTATGCTCTTGGTGTCATCTATGGCATCCTTACACAAATGAAAGAATTCCTCATCCATCTTAGCAAAGGGAGTTACTTTCAGATGCCTCACAGTCGCATAAGATGTATGAAGGCGTTCTCAATCATTACTTTCTTAGCCTTGTTGCACATGTTGTCTATATCACTTAACTTGGCTAAAACAAAGGAAGACTTGTCTTTAGACATGATTTTTCTAAAGCTAACAGCCTTCTTCGATATGCTCTTGGCTAGTTCATCAACATCTATCTCGTCTTTACTGGGAATGGATTCTTTTAAAGCCATAGCCAAGTATGGCACACCTTTCTCTGGCATAGTTTTTTATGCCAACTTCGACATCAAACATGCCATCATATTCATCACCACTCTCGTGGTTGGACTTATTGTTACCTCTTAATGCTTCATCACTCTTGGTGGATTTCATGTCACTGTCTTTGCTAGACTTTGAGTTAACCTCTTCAGTAGCCTTTTTGCCTTCATCTTCACTGGCAATTACTTGAATCCCAGCCTTATCATCCTCAACATCTAGCAAAGCAAGCAAGAGCCAAGTATTTAGCAAAGATCTTATTATTCGAGAGGAAAAGTCAAAGATTTCTTTGGCGCCAAGACAACATCATTAGCTTTAAAAGGAGGTGATTCTTTGGGCTTGCTCTATTATCATAATAAATGGCTAAACAGAGAATGTGATGACTTCAGCAATGGCGAAAATGCTTCATGGCTGTTAAAGAACAAAAAAAAAATAAAAGACTTGAATGCATAATAATAGAAGTTTTGGGATTAATTAAGCATATTTTGAAAGATGGGGGACTGAATTGCAAGAAGAAAGATGCTTCTTTGGGACCTAAATGAATGAATCTTAAGTGTCGAGATTTGGATGATCATCGCACAAAACTTGGAGGACTAGATTTGCAATTTCACTGTTGAAGATATTACAAAACCCGACACAAGTGTAGTGTCGACACAAGATTTACAGTGTCGGCACCATGTGTTTAGTGTCCCAAATTCAAGTTTCCTATTCTCCTCTTATCTACATCTATACAAAAGGTAGAAGTTTTGAGCTGCACTTGCCTTTGTTCTTTTTTGGTTGCACTTTAGTTGCAAAGGATGCAAAATCATCTTAATCAAAGATATCATCAATCAAGCCAACTATGATGTCAAGCAGTGAAGGCTCATTTGCTTCACCAGTAATGATCTTGCAATAGACTGCAGGCTTCGCCAAAGCTTTGCTCATATTCTTCACCAAAGCCTTCTCCATGTTCTTTGTCGGAGCCTCATCCATTCTTGGCCTCCTTTGCCTTGGATGAAACTTCATTATTGCCAAGAATAAGAATGGAGTCCAGCCTTTTTTTAGAGGCTAAGGGTTGCCCATACAGCCCTTCGCCAAAGGCTAGGGGCTATACATACAAACAATGACTCATGTATGATGGTTTCTTAGTGAGGTCAACAACGATAGAAAGCTTATCGATTATGCAAGGAAAGCTCATCAGTGCCCACATCTGCCTTCTCTTCATTTTCCTTGGGCATTTTAGCTTTGTGAGGCATGGATGCTTTCACTTTGATTTGTTTGCTAACTAGCGAAGCATCAGACTTGTGAGCTTCACTCTTGGATGGCTTGACCATACTCTTTTTATTACCTAATACTGGTTTCTTGGAAGAAATTATTTGGTTAATTTCACCTACAAAATTGCACAAACAACATAAGTGCAAAAATCTCTCTATCATATCCAACCATGCCAAGACCTCAAATGGAAGAAGAATTAAGGCTTCAAAAAAAAAAAGGAAAAAAAAAAAAGAGAAGTCTATTTACCTCTAGCCTCAACATCGCTAGCCTTTTGACCTTGCTCTTCGCCAGAAACCTTACTTTAGCCATGTTCATCATTCCAAACTCTAAGCATAGGCAATCACACTGTGTTTTCGCTCTATATAGCTGCAGCGACATTAGTAATGTAAAACCTCACTCCATATGGCTGCAGCAACATCAACAATATAAGGCCTCATGGCCAGGTCCCAATCAGAGCTATCCAAGAAAAAGGGTGGCATAACATTTAAATCATAGCCAAATTGCCATGAAACTCTCTCTGTGCAGTAACTCATGAAGGCCCCGCAATTTTTCCACATGATACATGACAGCATGGATTGTGTAATCACAACGAATTTCTCTGAGTGGCTTGCATCACCTGCAACAAAGTCTATTACTTTATTTCCCAGTAGTGCTACATTGTCTTGTTAAAGAAGCTTACATCCAGCGATGCAAGAATCCTCAGCATTGCCTTGTATGCATGAAAGCTAGAATTGATGTGATTGTCAAAAAAATTCATCAACATTGGAAGAGATTTGCCTCCTTACCTTTCTCTTCCCTATTTTTGAGCAAGCCAATGGAAGCTTCATACTCTTAGCCTCACCTATGGCTGGGGGAATTTCAAGTCAATTTCTTCAAGAGAGGAAGTTAATTTCTCAATTGCTAATGACTATCTTCGAAGCAACTTCAACTTCTCCTTGGCTTCAAATTACATGCACAATGCTAAAACTCTCTTCAAGAAATCTCTACTTATTGTATCCCACTCTGGATCCATTATTTTTCAAAGAGGAATCGCATCATCATTGCTAAAACTCTAGCGATGATGTGAGTAAGGCCAACATTCCAGCCATATATCTACAATGTTCAAAGTCATCAGCCGGGTACTTCTAAACTGCATCTATCATTTTGAATTATGCAAGTGAATCTATTCAAAGAGGCTTGGCCAAGCATACATATACTTTGTTATATACAAAAGGCCTCTAACTTCATGAACATTTTTTGAGCTTCATCTTTGCTATTTATCATCATGGTCAAGTTTGGCCTTGTTCCATCCATGTCAGAGAATCATCCTTAGTGATACACTAAAATCACCCTAGCAAGTGGACTAGTCGCTCCAAGTAATATAATGATGAGAGAGTGTCAAATCCATGAGGATTGTATCTAATTAAGTACCAAAATAATTAATCTAAATTTATTTGAACAATCAAAAAGGAAGAAAGTTCAATTAAAAAATAATAAAAAGAAAATAACAATTAAATTAAACCTAACCAAAATATGAGGTACTAAGGCATTGATTTCACCATAATCAATCAATATAAATTCTAGATTAATATGCTAATTTGTTGAGTATTATTGCATGTGACGGTAGATTTCTCTAAATTAATTAACTAGTTTTCTCAAGCCAAATTAATCATTTACTTGTTTGTTAAATTAATCATATCTCTATGTAATTTTAAACAAACCAATGAGCATTAAATTCTATGGAAACCACTAGCTTAAGAAGGGGGAGCTCCTAACTCTCTTCTCTTCCTCCACTACCACATATGAGCTAATTACCTCTCGATCTCATAGTCTAGCACACGGTTTATATTATTAGTAGTCTAATCTACGCAATTCTTTCTCAAGTTCATGCATAAATCATTAAATCAATTGAAAGATGATCAGGCTTACAATGCATTAAGTTCAATAATATAAACTTCTCATGCAAATAATTTTAATTGAAAGCATAAAATCACAAAATTTATATTGAATTGATTAAGCTACATCATAACCCTAATAGAATAAATCAGTTCATAATAAAAATAATAAAATCTAAAATCATAGTTATGAACATAAGAATAACAAGGAAGAATAAAACTCAATTTGAGAAAATTACAATCCTTGATCTTCTATTATTGAATCTTCTCTCTTGATCTTCAAAAATGCCCAAAAGAGGGCTTCCACAAGGCTCCACAAAGCTCCCCTAATTCTTAATTTGGATGGGTATTTATAGGATCTGAGAAACCCTAGTTGGAATAGTAGTAGGATTTTAAACAGAATAGTAAACTTGAATGTTGAACGCTGAACGTATGGTGTTGACATGCCAAATTACGTGTTGACGCAAAATAAGAAACAGAAAGTTTGATTTTAGACTTATTAATGCATGGTATCGACACCCTGATTATGTGTCGACACAACACTCGTGTTGAGTTTCTGGCCTCTTTTTGCAATTTTTTCAATGGTAAAATGGTAGATCTGTCCTCCAGCTTTTGTACAATGAGTACTTAGATCCCAAAACTCAAGATTCATTCATTAAGGTCCCAAAGAATTGCCCTTCTTCTTGCAATTCAATTCCTCAACTTTCAAAAGATGTTCAATTAATCCCCAAAACTCTTCTTTTATGCATTCAAGTCCTTTTCTGCATAAAAAATGAAAATTATGTAAAATCTCATAAAATTCAGTAAAATCTCATACAACTCATGCAAATATAAATAATATCAAGGCAACAATTCCACATTAATATATATATATAAATTCAACTCATCAATTAGCAATATTAGATTTCTTGGCTGGACTCTTACTCTAGCCATGCTTAATTCTATCCATGTCGAAGCATGATCATAAATGGCATCAGATTCCTTGGCAGAAGTTTTACTCTGGTCATGCTTGCTTTTATCTTTACTTGAGCTTCATCAACAACATCAGATCTCTTGGCTAGAGTCTTCTTCTAGCTGTGTTTAAATCCACCTCTGTCAAAGCTTCATCAACAAAAATCAAATTTCTTAGCTGAAGTTTTGCTCTAGCCGCATTGAATCACTCACAACACATCTACCTTAACCAGAGGGTTCACATGGCTTGTCTCTACAACAAACATGCTATGTTATATTTCTTATTGATAATCGCAATGGAGTCAGCATCGTCAAAAGCAATACTCAACATTATTCTCTTATATATCACCAAGAGTGGCATTTACTAGTTTCACTGGGAATGATGCAAACATGTTTTACTTTAGCAGCATTTTCTTACACATGGCCAGACACAGCTACATTATCTACACAACATGGCTGGGCATTTTTTTATGGTCATGTCCTCTACAACAATATTTACTATTGCATCTTTTTGGCTTACATTTATCTCCACCACATGGCTAGATGTTTTTTATGGTCATGTTTATTGCTACATCTCTTTGGCTCCTAGCAATGGATAAAGAGCCTATCTTGCTATAGATACATGGCTGAGCGTTTTTGTCAGTCATGTCCTCTACAGCGATATTTGCTGCTACATACTGTGACTCCCAACAATCGATAAAGAGCCTATTTTGCTATGTGGCTCCCATCAAAGGACAACGAGCCAAGCATCAATTTCTACATATTTCTATCACTGGTTCCCATCAATGGACAATGGACTGATCTTATTACATCTATATAACTCCCAGCGATGGACAAATGGTCAAATTTATTATCTCATACAACCTCCAGCAAATGGGCAAAAGGCTACACATTTTTACATATCTTCATTACACCAGCTCCCGGCAACGGACAAAAGGTCGGATCTCTACATATTCTATCTCACTAGCTCCCAACAACGAACAAAGAGTCAGCGCAACTCGATTTGATTAGCGTGAGGCCGGTAACAGTTGCAACCCTGCGATTGGATGGGATGGCTACCCTCCAACGTTAAAAATCCATCAAGGAGCAGTTGGCAGTCCCTTGGTGGTCGCCCGTGCATGGTGGTGCAGTGCCTGGTGGGCAACAACAACCAGACCACCCTTTGACGATGCGGGTATGACAAGAAAAGCCAATGTTTGTCAATGGTATCACAACTTGTCATATCGGAGGCCATGGATACGGCTGGTGTCCCCCTTCCATGGAGACAACTCCACCTCTCTCTATACATATTCATC